CCCCACACAGTCCCCTTTTTTCTGGGGGTGGGAAAAGCTTGTTTTTAATGGGAAATCCAACTTGGAGCTTAGTACCAAAGTTTTATAAAGGTAAAGGTTCCCCTTGACAACTTTTTTTGTCCAGTCGTGTTCGGCTCTAGGGGGTGGTGCTCATCCCCCTTTCCAAGCCATAGAGCCAGCATTTTTTTGTCCGAAGACAATCTTTCCGTGGTCACATGGCTAGTGCGATTTAGACACGGAACGCTGTTACCTTCCCACCGAGGTGGTCCCTATTGATCTACTCGCATTTGCATGCTTTCGAACCGCTAGGTTGGCGGGAGCTGGGACAAGCGATGGGCGCTCACTCTGTCATGTGGATTCAATCTTATGACTGCTGGTCTTCTGACCCTGCAGCACAGGCTTCTGCGGTTTAGCCCGCAGCGCCACCACGTCTTGTAGCAAAGTGCAATGCAGCTGGTTTTCCCTATGAATGCCACAGATGCTTAGAAAGTGACCTGAAAGTGGCCTCTCGGGTCTGGGCGGCTGTCCTTCTACCTCTGGGGCTTCCTGGGTGGTTCAGCTGACCATCTCTTTCTCTGATCTCACTTCCATCCTAATACCACCAGACCCAACAGGTGTGATCGCATGGGGTCAGCCAGCCCGACTCCAGGGTGACCGTGTGTGTCCGTCTGTCTGTCGTCTGTCTGTCTGTCATCCCTTTGAATGACCAGCATTTACTTCTCTGCTTCACACTGGCCTCGATCTTCTTTCTCGACATAATCAGGGGCAAACCAAGCCATCTTGAATTAAAGGAATTTTTTGGGGTGCACTGAGCTAAAAACAACGGCAATTAGCATTAGTATTCTTGCAGGGAAAAACTGATCCAGGAAGGCAGGTCTCAATGACTATGTAGACCTTTCCTCCAGAAAATTAGAAGTGTGCAAGGAAAATATTGTGGGTTTTTGTTGTTGGTGGTGGTGGTGATGGTGGTTTTTTTTTTGTTTGTTTGTTTGTTTGTTTTTTGCCATTGGAGTGAATTTTTGGTCCAAGGGACAAACTGAGAGTTTATATTTCTGTTGTTGTGTCTTTTAGATTGCTGGAGTTTTTCAGCAAATCCTAGAGGAAGTCTGGCGTCCAGGGCCCACTTGGTATAGTTTTGGAACATGTCACAACCATGAGATACACCAGCCTGTGGCTTGCCATAGGCAAGGGCCGCCAAATCGTATAAAGGATCTTCTCGGTAAGGTAAATGTTCCTGTAAAAGTGAAACGTTATAGACTGTTGGTTTCAGCATTTCCCCCAACATCCCTACGACATCATGCTTAGACCGATATGATCCGTACTCTCCACCACATTCTTTACCAGGTTTTTTCCCCTCTTGCTCCTGAAGGCATGGTTTGTTTTGTGCCAGGTGTTGTTCCGGAGGGGCAGAGCTTAGCACTTTGCACGCAAGGTTGCCTTGGATGACACGGGCCTCTCAAAGAAATGCATTTTTTCCCAGAAAAACGGGTTTTTACAGTGTCATTTGAAAATGAAAATGAATAACCTCAACTCTCCTTGACAACCGTCTGTGACCATTTGGGGCAAGAACTTTTGTGTGATCCAGAAGGCCTCCATGTCTGTTTCTCTGTTGTGGTTCCCCCCCATCCCCAATGAAGGTGAACCGCAATTCTGTACTGTTTGCTTTTAACACCTGGGTGGAAATTCATATTGAAATACACATTGAAACATGCATTTCTAGACGAGGCTCTCTCACAATGCATGATGTCAAAGAGGGTGTTTTTTTCCCAAGCTTTCTGAAATGGGACCTTTAGGAAAGGCAGAAACCATGGAACAAACGGTCGTGATCCCTCCCCTCTAAGACAGCCACCAAAGGGGAGAGAGGCCAAATTTCTCTTAACAGTTCAGAACTATCTCCAAAATTTTCTCCTCAACTGCCCTGATCAGCTCCTGCACACTCAAGCCTGTGGCTCCCTTTAGGGAGTCAATTCGTCCCATATTTCATCTTCCTCTTCTCCTGCTGCCTTCCACCTTTACCAGCGTTATTGTCTTTTCCAGGCGATCCTGTCTTCTCATGAAGTACCCAAGGTAGAACAGCCTCAATGGCAGTATTTTTGCCTGCACGTAGAGTTCAGGTTTGTCTTTTCCAGGCAATCCTGCCTTCTCATGAGGTACCCCCAAGGTAGAACACCCTCAATGTCAGTATTTTTGCCTGCATGTAGAGTTCAGGCTCGCTTGTTTGTCTTTCTGGTGGTCCAGCAAATCCACAGCCATAACGTCACACCACACAACAGATCCAAAGTTAGCACAGTTGGGGTGGCAATGAGCATCATCTCCTGTGTCCCCAGAGGAATGTTGCAAACCACAACCCTGTTTTCCTACTCTTGGAGGACAGGGAGAAGGCACGCCGAAGCAGCCCCTGCTCTTGATTTGACCACCACACCTTAAACTTGTAAAACAGTGGCATGTACGAAGTTGGCACCAACAGCTGGGCATCACTGCCCAATGTCCACCCATCTCTTTTGGTCTTGGGAGTGGGGGAACCCATGGCTTTTCTGTTCTGACTGATACCAGCTGTTCATCCACCCCTCGGCCACTCTCCACTCATCCTAAAAAACAGCTGCACAGTTGGAAACCTTAAGTAATTTGTGGGCCACATGCTAGCTTTGATCTGCTTTCTTTTAGGGGTTGAAATGCTGTATTGGATTGATGGAATCCTGAAGAGGAATTGTAGGCAAAAACAAAATAAAAATAAAAAGTGAAAAGGCTAAGTTTTCACAGAATCGTAGAACCATAGACTCATGGAGTTGGAAGAGGCCTTTAAAGCTCGAGGCAGGGATCCAAACCAAAGCAGGTCTAACAGAGGGTTGTCTGAATTTCTCTTGGATACCTCCAGCCTTGGTGCACTCACCACCTCCCAATGAGGTCATGGGTTCTGTTGTCGTACTGCTCTAACAGTTGGGGAGTTTTTCCTGATCTTCAGCCGAAATCTGGCTTCCTGTAGCTTTAGCCCCTTATAACATATCCTGCACTCTGGGATGATGGAGAAAAAATCCTGCCCTTCTTCTGTAGGACCACCTGAAAAGTGTGACCCTCGCTCCCCTCCGTCTTCTTTTCTCAAAGCTAAGCAAGCCCAGTGCTTTCGGTCTTTCCTCCTAAGGCTTGGTTTTGAGTCCTTGATCATCCTTTTTGCCCTCCTCTGAACCTGTTCCAATTTGCCAGCATCCTTCTTGAGTTCCAAGTTTTATATATATATATATATTTAATGCGAACTTTTGTTGGATCGAACAAAAAAATATATAAAAGCGAGTCCTTAAAGGGCCACCACGTTTTTGTCTTAAAAAAAAACTTTTTATTTCTATTTTGCTTTTACCTATAATTCTTGCACAGGCTAACACGGCTACCCCTTCTCCAAGGACAAACATGATGGAGCTGACGGATCATATGTCCGCTTGGAACTGATGGGAGGGCTTTAAAGCTCTTTACTGCCCTACACCAGACATGTCCGCATTTCCCCATGATCTGGGATCAAATGAGGCCAAGAAGATTGATAACATTTGTCTAGAATTTCTAAAAACCAGCACAAAAGTTTAAAAAACCAAACCAAACCACATATAATTTCTAAAAACCAGCACAAAAGTTTAAAAACAAAACAAAACCACATATAATATCTTTCTCTCTCTCTTTCTCTCTCTCTCTTTTGGAACAGGAAATGTTTATTTGAGAAAACAGCCTCCACGCCCCATGCGTATCTGCTACTTGATGAGAACCCTGATCTTCCTTCCACATGGGCCTCCGTTTTGCTGGATGAGGAGCCGTTGCTGTTACCGCAGGCGAGCTTTGCAAAGGGCGCTTTTTTCAATTTTGCAGTTGCCGTCCATCCATTTGGTAAACCCTGGAAAGCGACAGAGGAGACGGTCAGAGACGGGCTCGGCTGTGGAGGCAGAAGAGGGGAGTCCACCGAGGAATGGGCTTCCACCCCAGTTTCCCTCTGCCCTCCAAGCCGTCACTGCTGACCACCCCAGGGTGTTGCACCGGGGCTTGGCAAGCATGCAACCCAGATATTCTCCCCCTTTAAAATAATGACTTGGGGGGTGGAAGTGGCTCAAAAAATCCCCTTTGTGCTTCTAGGCAGCCTTGGTGCAACTTTGCTTTGTCTCCAGATGTTCCAAGGAGCCAGCATCACCATAATTTAAATTTAAAAAATAATAATATAGAAGGCACAGGAGAGCTTTTTTTGGGGGGGGGAACTCTGTAAGAAAAATGGACCAGGAGCCCATAGGCGTTCACAGAAGGCGTTTGCAACTTGCTTTAGCTAATTGCAGCAAATGATTAAGGTACCAGGGTGCAAAAAAACCCCACGTCTGCTGCTTCTATACTGCCCCATAGGACTTAAAGCACTCTTAGGGCGGTTTACAACTTATGCAGGCTACACATCCCGCCTGCCAAGATAACTGGGTACTCAGTTCATCAACCTCAGAAGGATGGAAGGCTGAGTCAACCATGAGCCAGATACCTGGGATTGAACCCCGTGTCGTGAGCAGAGTCTCGGCTGCAGTACTGCAGTTTAACCGCTGTGCTGCAAAGTTCTTAACAGCCTAATTATCCTAATTACTCATTTGGAACAATCCTTGGATCCCCCACACAAGGATCAACCACCTTCCAGACAACCCTGTTTAGCACAATGAAGCCCAATCTACTTCCCCTTTAAAGGGAAAGCAGGGGAGGGGAGGGGAGGCACAACGATAAAATCCCTCTTCGATCTCCTCTTTTGTGCTTTGCCTAAGTTGCTTAAGGATATTGAGAATGGAGAAGCTCTTGCTCCACTCGCCTTTGGAGGGAGGAAGCTCTCCGTTTCTCAAGCACACTGATGATGCTTTGAAAGGGCGTTAGCAGCTATTCAAAAGAAATGCAAAGCGTCCTTTCCCTTCTCCTCCGAAGGCGAGCAGCAAAGAAAGCTTCCCATTTCTCAAGATGGTGAAGCGGCTTCAGCAAAGGGAGAGCCAGGCCACTGCTTTGGTTTGATCCCAGCAATCAACACACGCTGGCACTGAACTAGGCTAAAATCCATGGGGTAGCACCCCTTAGCCCTTAAAATTTAGGGCGACAGATCAATTAATACATTAGTGGCTTCTGATCTCATTCCATGCAAAGTCAATATTGAGTTGCACAGTCAGTCTGAACTGGGAGATTATACCATCTTACATTCCTTTATCTCCGCAAACTTAAATTTGCAAATAAGCCAGGGAGTGCAACTCTTTCTTTGGGTACCTACTAGAGATGGGCGTGGTTCGGTGGTTTGTCCCAGTTTGTTTACAGCCACAACAGGTGTTTGGGGATTCAGCCTCCCTGCCCTGCCTCCTCTGTGAGCTGCCCTTGATTGGGCACCTGCAGAGGGGGCAGAGTGCCAAACAGCCGAACACTCCTTGCAGCTGTAAACGAACCAGGACGAATCACCGAACCGGCAGTTCGTGCCCATCTCTAGACGACTCGTGTCTCTCTGATTGCTCCGGAATATCAAACGTCTGGGAGCCTTTCCTCACCGCTCGAAGCTTTCGTGTGGACGCAGTATTCATTTCCCCCCTGATTGTTTGGCTCTCCGGCGCACCAGGAAGTGAAACGAACTGGAGACCCATCATTCCAAGCGAATCTCCTGGTCTGAGAAAACATGCAGAGACGGACAATGTCAGGTTTGGTGCACACAGGCAGGTAACACAATCCTTAACTCTTTACAGACCATCCAGGCCAACCCAGTGATGTGCCGGCTGAAGCAAGCTTGTCATAGATGGACGACTATTCTGCTAGGACATTGGTTCCCAGCCGTGGGCCTCCAGATGTTTGTGGACTACAACTCCCAGAAATCCTGGCCAGCACAGCTGGTGATGAAGGCTTCTGGGAGTTTTAGTCCAAGAACATCTGGGGATCCATGTTTGGTAACCACTGTGCTAGGAGAAGTAATCTCATGCCAGTAGAGTTCCCTTGTGCTGGTGGATCTCAGAGATCTGCTAAGGAAATGAAAAGGGTCGGAGAAAGAGTGGACCAAAGAAGGAGCCAAATTATTGCAGATCCACACCTTCTCCAACTTGGGGGGCACAGTGACAATCCCACCACAAATTTTGGCCAAAGCATGGGTAGTCCTCTATAATTTCCAAAAATTGGTGGGGCAAGTTAGGAGTTTGACTCCCCACTGTGTCTCCTGGACAAAGAGCCAGTCTGTGGAGCCTTGGGCAAGCCAGATGTGTCCAGAAGAGGGGGGATAATAAACCACAGCTGTATATTCTATACAAAGCCACGACACTACAAGCTGGAATCAATCTGACAGTAGACAACAACATATTATTACTGAGATCTTCACAGCATGAGTGCATGAGGACTGGAAAGGCAGCTGCATTTGGGGGGGGGTTAGCCAGGCACGGGACAGGTCTCTACCTCCATGTGCATGCTTCTGTTCTGACATCAGTGCTAATTGAAAGCCAACAAATGCAGATGTCACGGAGATGAAGGCCATCAGGAGGGCTGTGCAGTGCGCAGCATCTCCAGAATCAGAGGCACAGCCTCACTGTACTCCAGTTGAAAACCGTAGAGAGGGGGTGCCACTACGGTCTTGCCCTACTCATGAGTTTCCCATCAGCCACTGGTTGTCCACTGCATGAATAGCATGATGGACTAGACCAGCCAGGGGTGGGCCCTTTGGCGTCCTTGAGCGGTTGTTGGCTTCCTAAGACCAAGACATGGTGAGGGCTAATGAGAGTTGCAGTCCAAGAACAGCTCAAGGGCCACAAGTTGCCGATTCCCGGCCAGAGTTTAGAGGTAACAAACTACAAGTAACAAAGTAACTCTAACTAGTTCCTTTTGCATAACAAGAAATGTAATGGGTAGTTGCAAAGTTACAGCGAGACTGACAGATGCTGTTTCCCGGAAAATCAGTCCTAACCTGAAAATAAGCCCTAGTAAGATTTTTCAGGATGCTCATCATATAAGCCCCACTTCTCAACTTCTCATTTGGTAAATATTTGCAGGGTGCCATGTCAGAATTGGGCTCTAGGGGGAACCAGAGAGCACTTCCCTGTAATTTTTACGGCTTCCTGATAATGAAAATGCAGCTGATTTAGAATGCTGGATGCAATGGATCTTTTGAGCAACTGGAGCAGTGGTAAGAACAGCAAAAATAATCCTGAGAAGGAGTGAGTTACTTGGGAAGTTCCTTTCAAGGAAGAGCATAGGAGGAGTTGGGCCTCATCTGGGCTGGCTCTCAGCCCATTCTTTGGGGGCGAGGTGTGGGCAAAGCGGGGCTTTCCAGCCTCTCCTCTCTGACCCTTGCCCGCCTTCCAGCCCCACTGCCTTGAGCCTCTCCCC